GGTTGCTGAGGAAATACAACAACTTTGCGCTGTGGATCGCCGGATCGGCTTTCACCGTGGACGAAGCGGAGTCCAGCCCGGGGTCGTCACGTGTGGTTGCTGCAAGCCCGCCCGCCGCCGCTCACTCAAGCCTGCCTCTGCTCACTCTAGCCCGTGTGTGACGCTCTTTCATTGTGAAAGCGAAACTACTTTGTTTGGTCTTCCAAAAGAGGACACGACTAGAAATCAGTGGTTAAGTTGTATTTTTAGACCGATGAGCTTTGTAAAAATCGACTTGTTTCAGAGAGGCGGGGCATAGAGGAGAAACAATAATGTACAGTATGTGGAAAATAATGTGTTTTTTTTTACCTTAAACCGCATAAACACATTTCATTACGCCAAATACACAAAATAATGTTCTTTTTAGCAGCATCATATGACCCCTTTAAAATTAACTTCTGCTGAAATGGATGTTTCCAAAGAAGTGTTTGGAAACAAGAAAGATAAATTTGATGCATAAGTAATCATGGTATTTCATGTTCTGGCACATACATTTCAGCGGTCATAATTTCCTCTTTAGCTGTTTAATTTATATTTCACTGAAGTTGTTCATATCACTTCACTCAGATTTTGATTGATTTCCATTCAGATCTCCAGATCATACCAAGTTTGTGGGAAGTTTCAAAACCAAACAGGACTTCATGGATCTGATTGAAGTGATCTATCGAGGCGCCATGAGAGGAAAACTGATCGTCCAAAGCCCGATCGACCCAAGAAACGTTCCCAAATATGATCTACTGTACCATGACATCTAGCATTGAGTTTTACACAACAGTATTAGAGTCAAGAATCACGTCTTCTGACAGAGTGACTAGTTAAAGTGAGCTTTGTCAGGATGTAGAGTTTCCTGTGGAAATGACAATCTGATGTATTTATTCTGCATATTGTGAAATTTTTGTATGATGTTTTCAAAGTAAAGCATATTGATTTTACACTTCTAGAAGTTTAATGACATTGATGGTAATTTTAAACTACTTCAAACAATTTTTTCACTTCTATTTTACTATTTTTACTACTACTTCATCAGATTTGGAGAAATGTAGCATTATATCATTTGCTCACCAATGGATCCTCTGCAGTGAATGGGTGCCGTCAGAATGAGAGTCCAAACAGCTGATAAAAACATCACAATAATCTACAAGTAATCCACACGACTCCAGTCCATCAATTAATATCTTGGGTCAAATCAAAAGCTGCATGTTTGGGAAAAAAAAATCCATCAAGACGTTTTTAACTTCTGGTTAAAATGCCATAATCCATAATAATGCTTCCTTCAGTGAGGAAGCATTATTATCCATCCCCAATTGTCCTCTCACATCAAAACCCACCAACATTTTTGTTTAGAACTGTTTTGGCTTGTAAACGGTGCTTGATCTGTGCATATTTCTCTTCTGATTTAGACCAGATGACTTTTTCACTGGAGTAAGCGTTATTATGGATTATAGACTCGTATTTTAGTTAAAAATGTCTTATTGATGGACTTATTTCATACAAACACGCAGCTTTTTGCTTCACAAGACATTAATTGATGGACTGGAGTCATGTGGATTATTGTGATGTTTTTATCAGCGGTTTGGACTCTCATTCTGACGGCACCCATTCACTGCAGAGGATCCATCGGTGAGCAAGTGATATAATGCTACATTTCTCCAAATCTCATGAAGAAACAAACAAGTCTTTTTTACAATAATCAGACAGAAATGATCATTTTGATGCAAAGTCTTTTATTTATTTCAGAGACCCTTCAGGTCAGTCCATTTGTGTGATCATATTGAGTTGTTGTTTTGGTCCTTTGCACGGCTCTTGCTCCTGGTGATGATTTCAAATGGAGTTGGCGTGGCTTTAGGCTTGATGGTCTTGCTGAAGAAGCGAAAAACAGACTCCATGCAGATGGTAGGCGCAGAGTCGTGGCACCGAGTACCTGCGGAAATCTGCGGGCAACCGGCCTTCAGAGACCCGACGGAGCGATTCAGGGGTTTGGTGCTGAGAATCCAAGTTCTGGAGTGGGATTTCAGCCAGTCGCGTCCAGCCTTTCCCAACGGCTGATGCCACAGGTTGTGAGACGAATCCAAGAAAGCCACAGCCTTCACACGACGCTGAACCTCTTCAAGCTGATAGCAAAGTAGATCCACAAAAGCCAAGCCTCCATAGCCGTGAGCGACCACAAAAATGTGCTCAGCGGAGCTCCGGGAAACTAAGCGTTCCCAGACCAGATGAACGTGATGTTCTAGAGTTTTCCCACCCTCGTTAGGGTTCATTATGATAACGGCACATGACTCCAGTGCAGCCCAGCGAAGATACGGGATCTGACTGCCTCGCTCCAGTCCCTCGTGAGCAGAAAGCTTCCAGCTCCACACGCCGCTCCGCACTGTTCCCCAGTCCTGAATCAGAACTAGAAGACTCCCAGGTTGATACAGCGCTCCTGGACTCATGAATACAAAACCGTCCTCCTCGAGATGCACCCTAATAAGGTGAAAGTTCCTCTCTAAGAGGTCGTACACGTGCTGAGTGATGTAGTGACAGAGGCTGTGATGTTCCCGTTCGGTTCCACGGACGTCATCAAGTCTGAAGGTGAACCTGTAGGGTTCACAGGTGACTTTGTGCCGCAGTTGACCGTCCTCAGAAAATGAGTATGGAAAATCCGATTGAATTGGATTACGGCTCGAGTCTGAGCACTCCAACATCATGTGGGACCTGAAATATAAATATATCTGTAAAAGTCTGGAATCAGAATTTGCTCACCAAGACTGCATTTATTTAATCAAAAATACATTAAAAACAGTAATATTGTGAAATATTAATACAACTTAAAATAGTTGTTTTCTATCTGAATATATAGTAAAATGTAATTTATTCCTGTGATCAAAGCTGAATTTTCAGCATTCAGTCACATGATCCTTCAGAAATCATTCTAATATGCTGAATTGCTGCTCAAGACACATTTCTGATTATTATCTTACCCTAAACTTTTGAATAGTAGTATATCATAGTTTCCACAAAAGTATGATTCAAAATGCATTGACAAAAATCAGAAATGTTTCTTGAGCAACAAGTTTCTTCAGCGTTGATCACAGGAATAAATTACATTTTACAATATATTCACATAGCAAACATATTTTAAATTGTAATAATATTTCTCTGTTTTTACTGCCTTTTTGATCAAATAAATGCAGCCTTGGTGAGCAGAAAAGATTTCTCTCAAGACATTAAAAAAAATCCTAATTAATACAATCTTGTTTGAAAATATGCTTTATAAGCCATCATTCATCTGATTTGACTTTAAATTATGAATAAAGCATTTGTTTTTATAAATTTACCAACACAATGGATACTAATAAAGAAGATTACCTACTAACACTGTAGTCTGAGGACTTGCTAAAGTTATTCCTGATGTAGCTCCTGACTGCTGAGATGTGTGCTATCAGTGATCATGTGACAGGTGTTTCTGATTGACATGAGGGTTTGGCTTCAGATGTTTAGTGACTACTAGGGCACTGCAGTGCTTACCATGCAATAATGTATACCATGTGTTCTCAACTCTGGCCCTCGAGATTCAGAGTTGAGCTCCAAACCTTGATCAAACTCACCTGCCTGTAACTCTAGTAATCTTGAAGACCCTGATTAGCTTGTTCAGGTGTGTTTGATCAGGGTTGGAGCTAAACTAAACTCTGCAGGACACCAGCCCTCCAGGACCGAGTTTGGGCACCCCTGCTTAAAATAGTCTAAAAATAAATATGGCCAATTTGCTTTTTAATCCATTTTTGTGTAACATGTCTCTATTGGTATATACTGACAAATGCAATGCTTTGTTGGATAGCTATAGTATGCACTGTGTTCTGTTGTATACTGTACATGTTTGTAAAAGTAGTAGGCCAATTCCACGCATATATTTTGTTTACATATTGTGCACAATTTAAATTTTATATGTATATATATATATATATATATATATATGT